TACTGTAAAGCAAAGGGCTAAGACCACCAAGGCATCAGACAAGCATTGGGCAGCAAGGGACAAAGGCTGGAGGGCATGAGGGAGACGAGCGGTCAAACAAACAACACAGCAGTGAAGCAAAAGACGAAGGCTGGAGGGTATGGGGAGCCGGACGGGCAGGCACACCACAAGACATCAAGCCACGACAAACAACGGAAAAAAAACGCATAGGGTGTCACAGTGGGTATGGGGAGGTGGGCGGGCAGACAAGCAACAAAAAACAACGAGGCATGGAAGACGGTGGAGACACAGGCTGGAGGGTATGGGGGAGGTGGGTGGGCAGACAAACGACTCAAAGCCAAAAAGTAACACCACAAAAGAACAACAGGCAAAAAAGAATCAAGTTCCAAACCTACGCCCGGGCCGAAGCACCAGACGGGCACCAGGATGACCACGTACAGCGGTGGCCCAACATCTCCACCTATGCACCAGTCCACGGAGTGCGGCCGGGCCCTGCCGGCTGCGGACCGCAGCGCAAGTTAGCGCTAGTAGCCTCAGGATCATCAAGACCCGCGCTACTTGCTGCGGACCGGCCGGCAGGGCTTGTGATCTGGTCATCTGATTTCATTGACAATGTGCACCCCCTGTCAGCCACAAGTGCTGCGTGTGTGCGTTCAATGGAGCATGTAGAGCTGGATGTGGGCCCCCACAGCAAAAAACAAGAGAGAGGCCATACTCACTGGCACCCGTAGTTTTTCACCAATTTAGGGACAGACTTGTGGTCAGATACATCCAGGTCCAGCCGTAAATGCAGCCAGATACATCCACTGTTTTCAAGGCATTGGATTCTCGCCAACTTTTGCGTTACTCGAGCCGACATTCTCGCTGGTGAGTTTTGTTTTTTTATTTATTTCGGTAGTAGGCGCTTTCCAAGGTGCGCCCAACTTGGCTACAGGAATTACGGTCTCGCCGCACGGCACACGAAACGAAAACGAAACGAGTGCATCTGCCCACCAAAGGTGGCAAAATACAGTCGTTACTATTTATAGCAAACCGACGAACCTGGCCATTTTCTGGGGGAAGATACGTTCGTTTCGTGTGCCGTGCGGCAACGCCCTTAGCCTTATTAGGAGCCATTGGACCGATGACCGATGAGGATCCAGATTCTCACGTGGGCGATCCACACCAGTGGCCCATGCAGTCGCGTATGCCAACACCTACGAGAGCAATTTTTTCACACAACAAAATCAAGAGCAGACTATGGGCCTTGCTGCACTACGCTAGACACATGAAAAATTTCAAGAGTACGTCTAGCGCTGTCAGACACCTGGATTGGCATCAAGTGCTGTCGTTGCTGCACTTACTCTGGACTCTCAACGGTCGGCCTCGTTTGAAAAAAAAAGCCCCTGCAGGCAGGAACTGTGGAAACTTCATGAGCTCGTCCCAATGGTGCCGTTTCTGACACCTCTTGAAGCGCTGGACCGAGAGCACTTTTCCACAGTTAGTGCAACGATGACTCTATCTCCCGACGTTTTCGAGAGTGAATCTGACAGCGCTTGAATGGAAATTCAGGACGCGGCATCAAGAGTAAGTGCAGCCGTGACGAACTCTTGATTTCTCAAGATTCAAGAGTACTGCAGCGAGGCCCTATGCAGCGCAAAGAGCCGCAGCAGCAACTCTTTCTCTTTTTCTTTTTTTTTTCCTGTGTGTGTGGCCCAGTGGACCACAGATCAGGTACTATTAGGGCCTCACCGCACCACTGTCGAAAATGCTATTTTCGACAGTTCCTCTTCGCCACACAGGCTGTTGAAGTCGGAGACGGGAAGAAAATTTGCAAGTTGTCAGAGAATGTTTCTCGACACCTCCTTCTGTCAAAAGTTGTTGAATCCCCCCCAGCCTCCTGCTCCTCCGATGCTTTCGACACTCCTCGGCTGCGTCATCGACTTCGCCTCGAAATTTGGTGAGTGGGGGTCAGGTCGGGATGGACTGATGCTTGTCGTACCCTCAGGCGCGTTCGTCTTTTTCGATCTTGCTTTCACAAGTGCGTGAACTATACAGTGCTGTGTGGCAAAGGGGGGGCGTTCGAACTGTCGAATGGAGGCTGTCGAATTTGTTCTGACGGCCGTCGATTTTTTTGGCCTTTCGACTGTGGTGTGGCAAGGCCCTTAAGGCCTCCGCCACAGGCTGTCGAAATGTGCAAAACGAGAATGAACTTCACGCTAGAACATGGCCAGATGCACCTGCCACATTTCTGTCGTTTTCGCGTTTCGACTGTGGTGTGGCGAGGCCCTTAGAGGCTCGCCACAGATTCGACAGCTGTCAGAAAAAAATTGAAAGTCGGCGGTCAACAGTTTACCCCCCCTGACCAAAAACTCTGGGAGGGTTACCCCACTGGACCCTCAGGACCTTAAATTCCCACCCAATGCATGCGCGCGCTGTCGAGGAGCAAGGTTTTTCGTTTTTCGTAAAATGGCCAAATGGACTCCGCCTTTCGAGGAGCAGGGCACGCGTGTCACGCAACAGACCCTGACACCGTGACTGAATGCAAATTCGAAATCGAATGCAAATCTCGACGAAAGGCAGGTGGGTGGGGTACTTCCCAATTTCCATCTCCTGCAGGCGGGAAGGGGGGRGGGGGGAGAGGGGAGGGTGGCTGTCGAGCGTACCATTCGGACACCTGTCGGATTTTTTTTGAGCCGCAATTCTTCGGAAGTCTGCGGGGCGATGCAAAATTGTCGAAAACGTGGTTTTCGACAGCCTGTGTGGTGAGTCCCTTAGGGCATCGCCACAGCACTCTCGAAATGTGCAGAATCAGAACGAACTTCGAGCTACAACATGGCCGCCAGATGCACCCGCCACATTTTTGTCTTTTTCACATTTCGACAGAGCCTGTGTGGTGAGCCTCTTAGGGCATCGCCACACCACTCCCCAAATGTGAAAAGGACAAAAATGTGGCAGGTGCATCTGGCCATGTTTTCTAGCGGCAAGTTCGTTCTCATTTTGCAAATACTTCATCTATTTTCTTAGCCAAACAAAAGGCCGAAGAAGGCATCCACAGCAGCAATTCTTGCAGCAACTACACCTGCGAAAACAATGACAGCGCACACATTGCAGCGAGCACAACAACACCTACAGCAAATCCCAGCGGTCGATGTTGTTGTCCTCGCTGCAACGTGTGCGCGGGTGAAAAAGACAGAAATCGAACTTCCGGTGAAATCACATGGAACTGCCGGTGGGAAAAAAAAACACATGGAACAGATCATGAGTTCAAATCCTGATGAGGGCCTAGACACACCACTCGCGAAATGTGAAAAAGACAAAAATATGGCAGAGGAAATTCCAATGCTCCAATTGACACCAAATTTGGTACACCCAAACCTTGACTCAAAACCTTAAAAAAAAAAAAAAAAAAAAAACCTATAAAATTTGACCCATAAAC